GCCGAAGAGAAAAAAGATCTTCCAAAATTCGACTCGACGACTGATAGAGATAAAACTAACACTAACGTTTCGCAAACGTCTAGTATTTTTGAGAACTCTACAACGCACGTACTGGCAAAAGAGGTAAATTCTGAATTTACGCATACATTTCCTCTCTTACGCTCATTTACGCCGAAAAATGAATTCACTGGAAGTTTTAAACGCCTTACATCATCTCGGTGTCCGATATGCGGGGGTCTATCCTGCCGTCCGACTGCCGAGGGTGTGGACGAGGTCGACTGCCATTGTCGCTAACACAGACGATCACGATCGACCTGGCCAGCACTGGGTCGCCTTTTACATCGACGAATGCGGTACAGGAACATATTTCGATAGCTACGACTTGCCGCCCTTGGACTCAAGATTCCTCTTACGTCTTCGCCGAAACTCCACCACGTATCGCTGGAATACGACGACGCTGCAAGGAATACTTTCTCAAACTTGCGGACAATACTGCTGTGTATTTCTATATTTTATATGTAATGGTTATAATCTTAGCCAGTTTCTTAGTCTGTTTACCTCTGATTATAAACGCAATGATCGATTGATTGCACAGTTATTTTATACATTTTTTCTTCATTGTAAACGTAAAACAAATAATTCTCATGCTGTATGCCGTCATGTTCAATCGTCTACTGTTTTAAAAAGTAAAATATAAAATAAACGATTATTCTCACGAAAGAACTATTTTATGTAACAACGTTATTTTATCAATAAACATCTTTTTTTTTCAATTTTGTCACTGTACGCCACGTCTATTACTTTCTTAATCATTTACTCGTTCCCTTCCAACCGACATCTTCTTTTTTTTCATATTTTTTGTCAGAACTAGCTTAATAAAAACTTTTGTCATTTTTGGAAATAAGACTAACGCTAACATAAAGTGTAAAAAAATTTATCCACTAAACCGAGTAAATCATCCCAGCTCTGTTACAATCAGTCACGAACTTGTCCATTCCTGTTTTCCTCCTGTGCTTCCAGACAAAAAAATCGGTC